TCAGATACACTGATATCTCATAATGTCTGGCAGCATAATGAAGTGGAGACCGACCAGCTTTATCCTTAGGAGTTGGATTATTCCTAACACGAGGTACAAGATACTCGTATATCTCTTTATCTCCTTGCTTTGCTATTATGTGTAGACATGTCACTCCGTCTTTATCCTGTGACTCTGGATCAAGACCGTGTGATTCCACTAGGAATTGGATTAGATCCTTATTACCACTCTCAGCAGCTCCATGAAGCAATCCTTCCTCATTATTATTCACACTATAAACATTAGCTGGATACACCTCAGACAGATACAGTGTCATCCTATAGTGACCATTTTGACAAGCTAAATGAAGAGGAGAACAACCATCACTATCCACTGCTCCAAGGAGCTTCTCATGATTTCTAGTACCAGTAGTGGCTGATAAGAGAGACACGACTGTATTAACGTGACCATTAGCTGCTGCTAAGTGTAATGGAGTCTGTCTCTTCTCATTAATTGAATAAATATCAATATTAAGAGACTTGTAAGCTCCTACTATAGTAGACACTATATCAGGATGACCCTGGCTGCATGCTGCATGAAGTGCTGTGTTACCATTGCTATCTGCCATGTCTACTAATTCTACACGTGGTTTATTGTAGCTTGGACTATCCAATAGATATTCTACTATTTCCAAGTGACCCTCTTGAGCTGACAGATAAAGTGGAGTACGACCAGAAGCATCAGTGATATCAGGATTACAGTAACGACCATCAATGAAAAACCTCAATATATCCAAAGACCCTCCCTTTGCCGATATGTGTATTATATTAAACCCTTTATCGTCCAGTATAGAAATGTTGCAGTTTTTACTGTTGAGGTAACGAATGATGGGAAGGTTCTTAGAGAAAGCTGCAATAAGTAGTGGAGTACGTCCAAAAGAGTCGGCCATATCAAGAGATAATGGTGAATGGTCTATAATGTACTTGACTATACTCAATGATCCTTCTTCACAGGCTACATGAACTGGAGCCATTCCATTGTAATCTTTAATAGTGAGATCCAACTGATGCTCCTCCACTAGATGTTTGAGTATAGGAAGAGAACGACTTTTACATGATAAATGAAGAACTGTTGATCCATTTGAAGTTTTAGCTGATGCGTCACACTGAGGAAGACTAGTGAGGTAGAGAACTATAGCAACATGTCCTTTCTGACATGCTATGTGAAGGAGTGTAGATTGAGTATCATTTCTAGGATAAGTGGCATTAATATCAAATAAATAATTGTTTAATAAATGCTTTAAGCAATACAAACGGTTGTATTGTGCAGCATAAAAAGGTAATACACCATTCTTAAATGAGGCTACATTGATATGATACTTCTGTCTGAGCCATTCTAGTATATGAACATGCCCAAATCCCACTGCAACTTCTGGTGATGACTTTCCACTGAATCAGCTAGAATTAAGATTGTATTGCTTTATTAATAATTTAAAAAGATCAAGATTACCAGAGAAACATGCCCTCGTGACACAATTGTAGCCATCCTTATCTTCTGTAGTGACATCACATTTCATTACATCAATTAGAAATGTCACTAGTTGTATTACACCACTACCACAGGCATAATGAATTGGTAAAATATCCTTATCATTAGTAGAATGTACTAGACTAGTATATTGTGGATAATTATTAATAATATATATAATAAATGAAAAATGACCATTTATTGTAGAATGATGAAACACATTGCTGTTGTCTATTCCACCTACTCTATCCAAATCACATCCACAATCTTTTACTAAATACTCGAAGACATCAATAGCACCAGCATCAGCTGCATATTGAACTGCTTGCCTACCGTCACCACCTTTAACTTGAGGATCTAGTTTATATTCATTAACTAATAATTTAATTAATGATAGTTTAGTACTATATACTGCTTGAAGTAATGCAAATGATGTGAGAGGCAACTGATGATTATTGATGAGGTATTGGACTAGCTTCATGTTACCACCCCTAGCACTATGAGTCAATGCATTCCATTTCTTATTATCTGCTATGTTAATGTCACTGTCTTGTACTTCAATGAGATATTGACTCAGATCAACATTACCATGATGACATGAATAATGAAGAGGTGTTCTACCCTCATTACAGGTTATATTAATATCAATGTCAGTAGTATTCATAATATATTCTACTGCATTGATACTACCTGACATACAAGCTAATGCTAATGGTACTACACCTTTGTAGTCTGGTTGACTGGCATTCAACCTATACTCAGATACAGTATAACTGAGTAGAGTAGGTGAACCTGATAAAGCAGCATAATGTACTGCAGACCGACCCTCATAATCTAATGAACTTGTATTAATACCATACTCCTCTAATACCTTCACTAATAATATACTACCACTAGTACATGCTAAATGAACCAATGATTGACCAGTAGCAGTTATAGAATTTATATTGAAATTATTAATAACGCTTGTCTTCTTGAGGAGTGTAGACAAAAGGCTCACTCTTTTATGCTGTTTGGCAGTATTTACGTTTTTAAATATATATTTATGAAATAAGTTTTTGAAATTAACATTTAGTAGGGTAATTTGCATAAGTAAAGGTATATCACATGGTGCAGTGAGCTTATTATACACTTCTGTAATGCAGTATTTATCAACCAATCCACTCCATAAGTAATGGAGAGAAGACCGGCCACTATAATCAGCTTCTAGTAATACTTTATATCCAAAAATATTAACCATTTTCATAATGAAACCTGATGAAGCATACTGGCATGATATATGAAGTGGTGTTGCACCAAAACGGTCTCTTTTTTGAAATAATTCACTTTTATGATTATTATAAAGATACTCTAGAAGCTCTACACTATCACTCATAGCACAATAATGTACTATTCCACATCCGTTAAAATCTATGTCATCTTCTGAGAAAATACCAAACTGCTTAAGCTGATGAACTAATGCTATCTGTCCACTCTTACATGCTAATAATGATAAAGTGGATCCTTCTCTATTCACCTGAGACACGTTACACTTCTTCTTTAGAAACATAATCACGAGGTCAACGTGACCACCCAGTGCTGAGTAAAGCAATCCTGTGTTACCAGAGCTATCTGCTATGTCTGGATCAACGTGACATTCATTAACTAGATACTGCACAATATTGAGATGGCCTTTATATGAGGCCATGTGTAAACTAATAACACCATCATCATCACCTTGAGAAGGATCGCAATGATAAACATCAATGAGGAGACAGAGGACATCAATGTGGCCACCATATGAAGCAGCTAATTGTGGACTCCATCCATTTTTACCTCTTTCCTGAAGGCCAGTCTTGTCAATCAATTGTTGTACTTCATCCTTTAATCCTCTCCAACATGCTTCATTCAATGGAGTGCTGGTATTCTCATACCAGAGAGGATCATAAATATCTATAATATATCATAAATGAAGTTAATAATAATAATAATAATTACCAATAGGAGAATCATGAAGCTTCTTTAATTCATTTTCTGGCAACTGTAATTATAAAAGAGGATTATAATCATTATCATAATTAATTATTAACATACCTGCTTCATTTCATGTACGTGTTCATGACAAGTAATTTTTATGGTTCCAATCTTAGCCAATGAATGACACTGTTGATTGGTTAATGGAAAAAGAATGGAATAAAGAAAGTCAGGAATGGAATATTTTAATTCCATGCAGCCATCGTCAATTGTACAAAAGTATAATTTATATTGAGGAACTTCAAGTGCATCAGCGATTAGCTTGTGAAAGAAATATAAATCATTTAATGTGTAGTCGTCTCTGGCAACCTTAGCAATCATTACTTTAGTACCTGGAACATCAGAAAGACCAAACTCAATTGAGTCTGCAATTTGAACTGCTGAAGTATTGTTATTTTTAAAATAATCTTTTAATTTCTCGTGATATGTAGACCACTTCCTCTGTAAATCTCTCTCATCGGTAATGAAAATATTGACTAATTTGACGACAAGTTCAAAATTAAACCATGAGACATATTTCCTTAATGCTTTAAACAACTGATCCATTGTCTTGACATGGTTAAAGTCTTTTTCAATTTCCTGAATCATTTGTGGTTTTTGAAAACGTGGACTGAGTAAAAGTTCAATATAATCTTGAATAAAATCGATAACTTCTGAGACATCAATAGAACAAAAAGACTTCTTAGTAAAACGCATATTATCAAGGTAAACTTCTTTTAGCTCTCCGATCATTCTTGTTAGGTTTTCGGGTGAATATTCAATTGATTTTTTCTTAACATAAATGACTGAAGACTCAGATTGAGGTGAAGTAGTAACTGGTACCTCTACAGTCGGAGTAGCTTCTGAAATAAAAAATAAATGATTATTAAATATTGTATTTATATTTACCTTTAGTAGATGAAGTATCAACTGGTGATGTAGTAGCCTCTCCACTACTAGTAAGATTAATGGTATATTCTTTTGCTATTTTATTAGCTAGAGCTGGGTCAGCTCCTCCACTATTACTTTTAATGGAGTTACACAGCATTCTTAATGTAGGGACACCATGACTCTTATAGTCATAGTCCTTCTTTAACCAGCAATCAAATACTTTCCGTAGACAAGTTCTTGCCGGCTTTCCATCTGCTTCAATCTCATCTATCTTATTAGGGCTGATTCCTAACAGAATACCAATAGAGTCCCAGCGTCCTGAAAGAACACCAGCTTTTTCCCATACCAATTGAAAATCAGTAATATCTATCATTAATAATACTAATAAAACAATTATTATGAATATCTACTAACTAAGTTCTCTTTCAAAGGCTTTTTTCAGATCCTCTGGTTTGGTTGACATTTCCCTTTAGTTTGGAATGCAACCACTGACACTCCCACTGAATTTGATTTCCGGTTTATTTTTATGCTATAAAACACTGTACACTACTGCAGTGGTCAGTGCAGCAAGCTCCAGTCTACATAGTACATGATGGAGAGGCCAACTGAAGCAGTAGATCCAACCAATTCACTACTTGTATTATTTGCTGAGGTATAGCAACTACGCCCTTATGCTTAGCAACCTTGCAACGCACTGAGCCCCACCCTAGTTATAATCAGTAAATTACATATAACCATAGATATTAAAGTAAACTAGAAGTAATGTAGAACATTAAGGGGCGAGCCTAAACTAGCAAAGCAATTATGTGGCACTGGACCTATCCATCTATGATCTACTCCCGAAGATTTCAAAGCATGCCTCATGATTTATGCATAACAAGCGTGATTAACATGACGAAAGTTTAATGCTGCTGATAAATTCACTTTATAGCATTTGTTTTATTTAACTTTGAGTACTTTTAGTTTCACATACACATTTCTTGCCTATAAATGTCTAGGAAAGATGCTTCACTTAGCTTTAGATATAATATCTATCTGATGTTAACATGACTGATAAAAGCTTGAATGACTTTCACAGTTTTAATAGCAATTGCATCCATAAAGACGAGCTTTATAGTTTATTCGTTGAATTTAAAGCCTTCTAT